GGCTCCAAGCGGTGGCATCGCGGAGGGTGGAGGAGGCGGTGGCTCCCTCCCAGATTCGGTGGAGACGACGGCGGCACGAAGGGTGGAGGCGGCGGCGGCTACCAGCGGTGGCAACGTGAAGGGTGGAGGAGGCGGCGGCTCCCTCCCAGATCCGGTGGAGACGACAATGGCACGAAGGGTGGAGGCGACGGCGGTAGCTCCCCTAGCTCCCTCCCTCCCTCCAAGATCTGGCCGGAGTGGGGAGCGGGGAGGGCGGCAGCGCTCTAGGCGGTGGCGGCGCTCTCCCTCCACGATACGGTCTCCCTCCCTCCCGGCGGTGGTGGCTCCAGGCGGTGGATCCCCTCCCTCCCTCCCTCCCTCCCAAATCTGGCCGGAGGGGGGAGGGGCTGCGGTAGCGGCGGGGCTGGAGGTGGGTAGGGCTGGTGGTGGGGGTGGTGGCTTTTTCTTATTTACCCAAAATATTTTCGTGGGCGGGTGGATATGATGCCTGCGAAGATGAAGATGACACCTGCGAAAATGATTTTTTGTAGGCAGGCCGTTGGGCCGCAAGCTAAAATCATCTATTTTCGCAAGCTGATGCGTACAGGCGGACATTCCTCCTGCCTGGGAAAATGATTTTTTTGGCCGCCTGAAAAACGATTTTTCTAGTAGTGTGTTTTCTTAGATTTATAAATTGTGACCAAAAGCATGATCGGTTAAACTTGGTGTGTGTTTTGTGATAGACATGTATAGATTCTTAGGTTTGTTCCTAAAAGACAATGCTCATATATTAGTAGTTAATTAATCCACTACCATCGTGATCCACGTTACTTCATCTATTTAGGCAATCTTAACCCAAAAACTATCTATTAGTTCTTATACTTAGCATACTTAGCATATAAACACTATGTTTAGAAACAATATGCATATATAATAGGTGGTTCCTTTAAAATAAATTTGCTTCCAATCATCTCTCCACTCTCTTTTCATCTACCTATCCTCTTGTTTTTATTTTTGTTCTTGCGTAGAGCTAGTTTCTTGCACTACTAGAAAAAACCATTTTTCGATGCGAGTTTCTTTTCCAGGCGGGTATGGTCATTGGAGAGAAAATATGTTTTTGCAGGCAAACCACATAAGGGCGCCGCCTGCGATTATTGCTGGCGGATGCCTTACATGGTCTGCCTGCCAAGATTATTTTCGCGGGCGCACCATCTGATTCTGCCTGCAAAAATAAGGCTATATAGCCTTCTTCCTCCCCGAACACTGTTCTTTTCATTCGAAGTTTCTCTCCAAAAACAATCAAAATATAGGGTGGAAGGTTTTGAACTCCAAATCTTCGAAAGATTTTTCTATATTGGTTAGATCTATGTCTTTCCACTTTTGTTACGTATTTCTTTTATAATTTTAAACCTCCTTTTGTGATGGATCTATGCATGTAAAATAATGAAGGAAAAGCACCATGTTTTTTCCTTTCTTTTATTTTTAACTTTCCTTTGATATGGTTGTGTTGGATTTATGTATACTCGTTGATGCCATGTGGTCCTCTCATCCTCTAGTGGTTGCATGAGAAATTGTTTCATCTTTTCCCTCTTTTCTCATTAACTATCTTGCCACTTTAGCCTTTTCTTACCTGCTAGTATATTTCATACTATGGAAAATAGCTGAGTGGAAGTGTTGGGATTGCCCTAAATTATTGCTGAGAATCAGAGATGTCGACAGTAGCCTTTGATTCTCAACAGAAAAAAAAGGGACCGACGCGACAGTATGATTCTTACTACAAAACCGGACCGATGGACCAGACATGCATATGAACCGTTGAACCAACCAGTTTTCAGTGAACCGGCCACAAAACCGACACTGGTCAGACTGTTGTGGCATTGTCCAGTCTGACCAGTGTCAGTCTTTTGGCCCATATAACCTGCCAACTGCCAAGCATGCTCACCTTTTTGGCCCATATAGCCTGCCAACTGCCAAGCATGCTCACCCCTGTTTTGGTTGCCAAAAATTGAAGGAAATATGCTCGTGAGTGGGTTCGACCTCGAGTCTACAGGCTACAAGCAAATCAGGTTTCCTAATTGGAGCAGACAAGCAAGTCTGTTTCCTAATTGGTGCATATGCGTCCTGGGTGCGCACTTATGGTAGACACGGTCCAGCCCCTGAAGACCGAGACCTAATTTCTCGTTCCCCACTTCCTATCTCACTTTGATTTTTTTTATTTTAGAAATTGATTCTTCCATCTCTAATTTCAGTTGCAAGTTTTGAATTTTGGTTGAAAGTTTTTGAAATTTGAGTTGAATGTATTGAATTTTGATACAAAAGTTTTCAAATTTGAGTTGATAGTTTCCAAATCTTGACTTGGTTTTTTTCAAATCCAAGTTTAAGCTTTCAAATATTAGTTAAAAGTATTCAAGTTTGAGTTGAAAATTTTAAATCTTGAGTTAAGAGTTCAAAATCTTCACTTGAAAGTTTTCAAATATGAGTTTAAAGTTTCAAAAAATAACATATAAGTTTTTGAATCTTAACTTGAATTTTTTTTAATATGTGTTGAAAGTTTTCAACGAGGGAAGAGAATGGAGATTGGATAAGGTGTGTGTGCTATTTAGCTTGCTAGCGCATATGCGCGAAATAGGAACCATCGAATTTCCTAACGCGCACAGACGTGCCGGCAATCCAAGATGCTCGCGTTTTTTTTGGCCCACATCTTCGCAAGCGGTTTTGGCCCACTAACGAAATTTTTCGTGCAATGAAACTACTAGAGAGGCACATGTTCGTGCGCTTGACTCGGGAGATAAAAATTGTGATTTGCTTAACTTTTACATAATTAATTTTTGATAATCGTGATGTTGAGGGTAGATATCCCGACCATGGTATTTGTAGAGTATGGGGATCGTCGGTGCTAGAGTATGTGTGAAATTGAGGTAAAAAAGACGGGAGGCATGGATTTTTATACAGGTTCGGGCCTCTTAACTAACAGGTAATAGCCCTACTCCTGTTAGCCGAAGTCGGTATTGCCTTTATATATCAGAATCACACAAGAACAAGATTTGGTATGACCTAATCTAATCTCTGTCGGCTTGGTGATATGGAGCTCTCACACGTAGTCGACGGCTAGCTTAGTCTTCGTCCTCGAATATGAACTTGGCGAGATTGGAGGTAGCGCTAGATTTCTTATGTCGGCCTTCGTGGCTCCGGATTGGGTATGTCTAGACTTGCATTCCGTTAGCTTGTTGGCGTGTCACCCCTCCTTATAAAGGGTCTTGTATTTATTCCCTTGGGCGTCTTCTTGTCTAGGTAGAACTAGGGAGACAAGTGTAGATAAGATCCGAATAGTCCTTGTAGTGCTAGTAGAGCTCCGTTTCTCCTTCCTTATCCAGAACAATTTCTATATATGTGACATGATTCTGTATAGTACTTGATATATGATTAGCCCCACCGAGTCCAACCCAAAATTATTACCTTATCTATAACACATACACATAGTCTTAGTTAACCTTTTCTCTTTTTTCCGCATTAGGTTGTTTCTTTTTTAACTAAAGCTAGACAACATGTACGTTAAATTTGTAGCCTTCAAATAAAATTTAAAACTTTATATAAAATGATTAAAAAACGTATCCAAAATTTAAAACTTCCAACTCGAAATTTAAAAACTTTCAATTTAATTTTTGAAGATTTTCAACTCAAATTATGAAAACTTTCAAGTCGAATTATGAAAACTTTCAACTCGAATTAAGACATTCAACTTGAAATTTTAATTTTGGAAACTTTCAATTGAAAATTTAAAATTTCAACTCAAAATTTAAACATTCAACTTAAAATTTAAAACTTTTAACTCAATTTTGAAAACTTTCAAATTAAATTTTGAAACCTAATGATTGGCCCCACGAGCCCAACCCAAGGCTATTGCCTTATCTATAACGCTGACACATCGTTTTAATTAACCTTTTCTCTTTTTGCCGCATTAGGTTGTTTCTTTTTTTTTACTAAAGCTAGACAACCTGTACGTTAAATTTTTAACCTTCAAATAAAATTCAAAACTTTCTATAAAATAGTTAAAAGACATACCCAAAATTTAAAACTTCCAACTTGAAATTTGAAAACTTTGAATTCAATTTTTGAAGATTTTCAACTCAAAATATGAAAACTTTCAACTTGATATTTTAATTTTGAAAACATTCAACTGAAAAATTAAAATCTCAACTCAAAATTTAAACATTCAACTTAAAATTTAAAATGTTCAACACAATTTTGAAAACTTTCAACTTAATTTTGAAACCTTTCAAGTCGAATTTGAAACTTTTAACTTAAAATATAAACTTTTAAGTTAACTTTTCAAAAATTTTCAACTCAAATGTCAAAAACTTTAAACTCATATTTTAAAACTTTTCAAATTATAAAAACTATAATTAGAGTAATCATTACCGCTAATGAGGTGCGAGCGCAGGGCCATGGGCATGGCTGCGCTAGTTAATAACCAACCATGCTACAGGACCTCCCCCCCCCAAAAAAAAAAAAAACCATCCAGCAGCCCAAGAACTTGTGATGAAATAATAAGTATTGAACCCTAAATAATAACATATGTTGATATAAGTATTGAACCGCGGTTCGACCGCTTGGTTCACGGTTGGATAGGTGGATGTGAACCAAGATATCGACCGGGTTATCCACTGGTCCGATTTTTTTTATACAATGATTTGATCGGACTGTAAATGAATGTGTACGTTATTAGTTATCGACGACGGGAGTTTAAAATTTGAGTAACCCAGTGCGAGGAAAGAGTCAGCAAAACGTGGGTGCTTGATCCAATCTTGTTTCAGCGACCAAGTTTTGTATGCCTTTACATATGCAGTGAACATTCTTCCTTGCTAACCCAGTGGGTTTATTTTAGAAGTCAATGCTATAAGTTTCAAAAAAAAAAAAGAAGTCAATGCAGCTTAACTAAAGGATGCGTTATTAACTTATTACCTCAGCTACCTCTAATCCAGTATAAATACGAGCACATTAGCACTAATCCTTTCGCGGCAAAGTACGACACAACAACCAGTCGAGCACTTGAGCACTTGAACACTGTGTCCCTTCTTGAGCTCTCATTCCGTCTGCTTCCTCTAGAGCTAGCTCGATTGATCGCATTGGCCGATGGCCTCATCAAGCGACGTCGACCTCGCCGACCGCTTCGACATGTCCGGCCCGACGCATATGATGAAGGAAAAAATTATTCATTGGTATGCAGCATGCTTGTGCATATAGTACTACCTCCGTTTTTTAATATATATGGCTTTTTACATCATGTTTGACCATTTATTTTATTCAAAATATTTAAGTAAATATATTTTCTTTTGTCGTGGTTTGATTTATCACTAAATGAACTTTAAACTTTAAGTATGACTAATATTTTTTAGATTTATACAAAATTTTTGAATAAGACAAACGGTCAAAGATTATAACAAAAGTTAACAGCGTCATATATTAAAAAACGGAGCGAGTATATACATACGTGCATTCATGATGAGATCATGAGCTATATTGTATATTGGCGGCTGTTCTGCAACATCGATCGATCAATGCCACCCGTGTGCAGGGACAAGGAGGAGCACCGCCGTTGCGTCGCTGCTTGCCTTGTCAAAGGCGCCTACGTAGTGGAGAACGACCTCAACAGGCGCAGGATGTGGGGTAAGGAGCTAGCGCCGGCGTGGTGGGAGAACTTCGGCTTCCGCACCGTCGACGTGATCAACGACGACGTAATCGACGATAACGATCAAATCGTCACAGGTACAATATACGAGCACGAAACGCCACCTGGTGGTGGCGAGCCCCGACACCCGTTATCTCCCCGCTATGTGGTCGCCTTCCGTGGCACCATGACATGGCACCCCAAGGCGTTCGTGGATCTGTACCTCGACCTGCAGGTCCTCTTCAACACCCTGCAGGACTCCCAGCGCTTCCGCCTAGCGAAGGCGGCGGTTCAGAAGCTAGTTGACACCATCCACAAGGGCACGGGAGTCTGTGATCATGCTGTTGGTGGTAGATGCGTTGTCTGGCTCGTGGGTCACTCGCTCGGTGCTTCCGTGGCGCTGGAGGTAGGCCGGGTCATGATGACGGAGCAAGGTTACAACCTCCCGACCTTCCTCTTCAATCCGCCGCAGGTGTCACCGGCTCCGGTGATCAACTTGCTGCACCCGAATGAGAAGGCAAAAAGGCACCTGCACGCCGCGAGCTCCCTCCTCAAGGTAGGCCTAGGCAAGATCATGAACTCCCACGAGGAGCACATGGAGAAGCTATTCGAACGGCTTTCTCCGTGGACGCCGGAACTGTACGTGCACGAGAGCCACCCCATCTGCCAGGGTTACATCGACTACTTCGAGCAGCGGCAACTAGTGCAGGAACGCTTCCGTGGCATCGGCAATTCGGCAATGAAGCTGTCGTACCGAGACATGTTCTTTTCAGTGCTCGGGAAAAACAAGGAGCGGCCACACCTCCTGCCGTCAGCACTGCTGTGGAAGAACTCGAGGGTGGACGATGACGTGGAGGATCACAAGAAATTGTCCAAGTGTAAGATGCTCCAGGAACAACTGCACCAATACAAGAAGCTGGCCTTCAACGCGCACAGCCTCGAGCACTGGTGGAAGCCGGACAATGAGCTGAGCTTGACCAAGACGCAGTACATGTACAGCTATCCTTCAGCATAGCATTGGAGGCCAGCTCGATCGGGTTCGAATTGCACCATACCTTTGTATCGTTCATAAACGTGTGTGATATGCGTGTCTTTCCTTTCTATTAGCGTACCTATATTGCATCATGTTTCCTTATTTCATCTTGCTATTTTGGCACTTTGTATTCCCACAGAGAGTTTGTACGAGCCACACGCGTGCGTGTTCACGTCCTGGTGAAGTCTAGGTCGCTCGCTCCGTGTTCTGATCATGTGCGATGGCACGCGACGCTGTGGGACTTGGGGCACGCATGTAGGCTCTGAAATTAATGGCCACTTCCATTCAGTTTGTAATAAAATTAAGGAGAAAGAAAGCAACGAAAACGCTGCGCAAGTTAGCAGCACAAACACCTTGCGAGCATTCTGGACGTTCATGGTTTAAGCGAGTTTGAAAGCAAAGATCAAGGATCCTGGCTGTCAACTGGTATCATAGCCATGTTAGCTTTGATGCCACGCATGTTGTTAACTTGTTATTACTTCCACTGCAGACATTATTGTGAGGGACTACTTATACATTTGTTGATAAATTTTCTTCTAAAAATTTGGCAAATGCAATCGTAGTATAATTATGATATAATTACATTGTAACTTGTATGTAACTACGATGTAATTTTTTATGTAACTTCCAAAATTCCTCCAAAACTTGAGATTTACTAGAAGGGGCGTTGTGCGCGCTACTAGTCCAGTCACGCGTGTCTACGTCCATATCGCGCATCCCATCCCACAGTCCCACCCCCATGCCCCCTCACATGTTTTCACCACTCGCCTATTTTTTTTCTCGATACATCTTCTTTTGATTTCCCTATTTTTTCTGGATCATGTAGAATCTGGATAAGCAACTGCCCTACTCCTCCCTGACCTCCATTCTCCTAGTCGCCCACAGCAACCATCCCTCCCAGTCGTTCCCGACAGTGGGAAGCAGGGCTGCCCACCTCTACGGCAGATATGTTGGTGGGGGAGAAGCGAGCTCGTCAGTGGAGAAGGTAGGTGGGATTTCAGCTATAGCCTCTTCCCATCGAGAATGGAGTGGGGACAGGCAAGGTGGTGGCTAGCCCACTCAGAGCATTGAAGTCGCATCAAATCATATCATGAACATGGGACAGAAATAAACCGTGGGACAAAAACGGAAATCATACACTGAATCACCCTTGAGGAACATATCTGGCCTCTCCAAAATCAAATTGGACTTCACCCAAGCGAGGAGAAAAAGGACAATATGGCACTCTATACTTGTAGTTTCAACAAAATGACACTCATTTGGATGCAAAGGATTAAATGCCACTCAATAGGTTGCCTTTAGGCTCCGTTCGGCACCCCAGGTTCCCAACTTAAACATCCAGCACGGAAAACGAAGCAATCCACTAGCACGTGATTAATTAAGTATTAGCTATTTTTTAAAAAAAATAGATTAATTTAATTTTTTAAGCAACTTTCGTATAGAAACTTTTTTAAAAAAACGCACCATTTAGCAGTTTGAAAAGCGTGCGCACGGAAAACGAGAGAGAGGGATTGGGAACATGGGATGCTGAACACACCCTTAGGATAGTTTGACAATTTAGAGAGTTTTAGCTATTTTATTTTCTTTTCTCCTCATTTTAGGGCTGTTCAGATTGTTGTCATTTTGAACCATTCCTTATTTGGCAAGTTGTAAAAATTTGGCTTCATTTGGTTTGCTACTAAATATTGGTAATACCCATAGAATTTGGCAAGATTCTAGAAACTACTCACAAAATTATGTCAATATTTGGTAAGGTAACAAACTAAACATTACATTTACATTTTCAACTTGCCAAAATTTGGCTTTACTAACAAATGGTAAGGTTGATTTTGGCAAGAAACTGAACAGGCCTTCTTTCATGAACTAACCAAAACACCCCTAGCTGCTCCTAAATAGATCAGATCGATCCTGTGTCCATCCAAATCGAGCGCCACTTCTCCAGCACCGCTCGCTGCCTCACGCTCGCAATGTTGCTCTTCTAGCACCTCGCGATGCTCCTCCAACTCCCTCACCTTGCATGGCTCCTCCAGGGCCGCTCCCCCAACACCACCACCTCACGCGCGATTTCTCCCTCTCCCTCTCCTCCTCTCTAAAAGAGGAGAGTAGGAACAGAGATAATGGATAGTAGATTAACCACACAAGGGTGAGAAATTAATGAGGTTATGTAGTTTCAAGAGAAGAAAGAAATATCACCAATTATACTTAATGGAAGGCAACTATGTAGGTATACTAGTGGATACCCCCTTTTGCAGCGGAGAATTTAGAAATACATCAAAGGGAGCTAAAAAAAACAATATGTATGTCGTGTACTCATAATATCTAAATGGATAATATTTGTTCCATAATAGTTGATATGAAATCGCAATTCTACATGACATATGGATGATTACGTATCAAACATGAGAGGAATCCAATGGCTGTTAATTTTCTAGTGTCTGATTTCAATGCGTATGGAGTTTTATAGCAATAACTACACTTAATGGGTTCTAAACGCATATGATAAAAGGATGACTAAGATCAATGTATGAACGGGATCCAAATTTTACTAATTTCTAGATGATCTGGCTCAATGCATGTTAAGTTTTTTATTCAACTATATATGATATATACAGAAGTATATAGAGTTCGGGATTGCTAAATTTATAATGCCACATTTTTCACTTAATTCCACTCACTTTTCCCCCCTTTGATTGCTCTCTCTCGTATGTTTCTATCTCTCTTATCTACTCTTTTAAGTAAATAATGAATCACTTTTGATCATAATTCTCTTGTATATTATTGTGTATTAGATAAGTTACAATATAAACATTAAAACTTGCAATTAAAACTTGCAATGTAATTACAGTATATTAAATTTTTTTGTGTAATTATAATATAAGTTTAGGCTAGTGTAAAAATGATCTGATTATTTTTTTAGTAAAAAATATGAAGCTATGGTAAAAACTACTCCTATGAAGCTAGTCTCTAAGGCCATATGTGTAGAGGTGGTAGGGGTGGATAACATACTAGTTGGCATCGCTCAATTCAATAACCCTGAAAATCTTATAAGTCTAAGGGCCCCTTTGAATCATAGGAATGAAAAAAAATGAAGGAATAGGAAAAACACAGGATTCTCACAGGAATACAAGAGTAAAACAGAGTATTACAAAACATAGGAAAACATAAGAATGACCGTTTGATTGAGCCGTAGGAAAAACACAGGAATTTGAGGAGAGATAAAGACTCAAAGGATTCTTAACATAAGGTTCTACCTCATGCTAAATTTCCTTCAAAACTTACATGGGAAGAGGCATTCCATAGGAATTTCATAGGATTCCATAAGATTTATTCCTTTGATTCAAAGGGCTATATAGGAAAAATTCCTATAGAAACGAAATCCTTTAAAATTCCTATGAATTTCCTTTGAATCAAAGGGGGCCTTACTCATCTTTCTCAGCATGGCATACTGTTGGGATACGCGTAGGCTATGATAGCATAAATCAAAATTTTCTATCACGTAAACCAGGAACCATGCAAGTATTAGATCATAGATCGTTACCACCCGACGCGCTGCGCAGCGGAAGAAGACGCTGAGAAGTCGAAGGAACTCTCGCGAAGTAGCGTGCGTCGATGTAGAGGAAGTAGTCAATCGCACCGGCTCGACTTTCTCCACCTCGTGCGTTCTCCTCGCTGTACTCCCACGCCGATCAACACCGCAAACCAGCGGCGCCTCTACCGGTATCCACACGTACAGGGACAGAACGCCACGCGCAGATGTGCTAGCACCCGCGCGCGGCTAGGGTTTTGCTTGAGGAAGGAAGTGACGGCTAGGGTTTCTAACGTGATGCAATTCCTCCGCCGGTCACACCCCTCACGAATATATAGGATCCATCACTCGGGCCTCCAAGGCCCGTAGGACTCCTATTCGGATCCCTATCCGAATTAAGCTCATATTGGATCTCCATCCAATCCCCTTATTCCGGCTCATTAAGCGTGCGACCCTGTAGGTTCATATATACTCAGCTGTAACCCGAAAACTCCTGTTCGGTCCACGCGTCAACAGCGGCCCCTAGCAGAACATATTAACCCACCGGGCATACATAAAGATCATATCGGCTAAACCTCTAGTGTATACTTGTATGAACCCCTTTGCCTCACGATATCGATTAAGCTCAAGGCTAGATATGTGCCATCCTCTAATAGCTCAATCATTCACTCGAACCTGTTGGTAGATTATATAACTTGTGATTGACTCCTCAATCACCTTTGGCATGGCCATGCACTTCCATAATCTACAACATCAAGGGGCCCAGAGATATCTCTCCATAGGAGGGGCAAATCCCATCTTGATTATTCATATTCCACTACATGTTTCATAGCATACCCGAAAACTACTTTTATAACTTACCCAATTACAGAGTACCGTTTAGCAGTCCCTAAGTAAGCTACTACACATGTTAGGAACTATGATAATCTCAGGTTTAAGGATTCAACACCAACACTAAATGAGATCACTGATGATACAATACATATGGCTCTTGCAGTGCCTCATGTTGGGTCTATCCAACAACATGTTCACTAACATATATGTCCACATTATTAATTTGGTATCTCTATACTATGATCCATGAGACATGATCATCAATTAATACATGTGCTGATCATTTAAACATATTTGTTCCACATATGATATTTGATCAGGAATTCTTTAGAAATAACAACACATAACATAATGAGTCTCATGAAAAAATCACATATTCATTAACCAATAATGAGTTTATCTATTTTAAGGAACAAAGTCGGATAAATATGTAAACATAGTGTGTGATACAATCATCTCTATGATTGCCTCTAAGGTATATCACTAACACATACGACAATGACGGAAGATATGCGAGTTCAGTGTAAATAATTAAAGATTCAAATATTAACAACATAAAGTACGGTAACATCTATCCCTATACCAAAAATCATATTGAAATTTGATCAACATAATAAAAAATGGAAAAAAAATAAATTCAGATGTGAATAATACCAATACTACCATTTGTACGATGGGTTGATTGTCTTTTTTATTTTTCAATGTATTAGTTAATTTTTGACTTGTTCGTGAATCTCATCAATTTTTCTTAATTTTTATAATTATATATTTGGATTGGCGTTTGAACGACGTCACCTCCTCCGGAGCTTAAAATACTTACCCGAACTTGTGCATTATATTCCGATGCACACTGATTTTTTTCGTAGCTTTTCCGTAGAAAGTATGCCCGATACAAAACTACCTTTACAGTTGGTACTACGACCTTATTACTAAGTATTCCCTTCGTACTATTAAAGGAAGCTGTTTAGGACAATATTTAAGTCAAATCCTGTAAATATAAATCATAAATAACTCTCAAGTTGTTGGATTTAAAAATGTAAAAATTATATAAATAGATTTGTCTTGAAAAATACTTTCATAAAAGTATAAATATATCATTTTTCAATAAATATTTTTATAGAAACAAGAAGTTAAAATGAAGTTAAAATTGTGTTTTGGAGACCATATCGCTGTCCAAAACAACTTCCTTTACGATTACGGATTACGGAGGGAATTCTAACGTTCATCATCTCAAAAAAAAGTTCAATTAGATGCTCGACTGGCTGCACAGCAACAAACAGTGTAGTGATTCTTCTACACCGGTGATGCTCATTTCTTTTTAACTAGGTGATTCCCCGCGCTTTGCTGCGAGAATTAATAAATAATTTTTAATATATTTTTTTTGAAAATTAAGCAAGGAGTAAAAATAAAAAAATGAAATATCAGGGTTTATAAATACTTATCATAAAAAAACAAATAATACCCACACTTTAATGTAGAACATGTTGATAAGTATATGTTAAATATTATAAAAATAATAGCTAGATTTATTAAAATATTATGGAAATGATGTGAGAGATAATGATTGGATATACTTACACGTTGATTTGTAGAATTAAATAGATTGTAAATGATGTTTCATGCTTGCATGAGGTTAAATATACTGTATATTATTACTGGTGGGTGATGACGTGGCATTGTTACATGTTAAGCTTTAGTGGGTTGTAACTTTATAGAAAGTATACATTGGCAGGCATGCATTGTAACTTTATAGAAAGTATACATTCGCAGGCATGCAGTGGCAGGGGATATGTACTTTTGGAATTTCGTATGGTGTGCTGCAGCCTCTCTATAATTATAGTATTACATATCTAGAGTAAATTTCATACTCCTCCCTCTGTATTGGAATATGTTTATTTTTTTTCTTCCAGTTATTCCAAATAAGTTCATTTTTAAGCTATCATTGTAATAAAGTTTGTGAGATTAAGGAGTGAATGTATTGGAAGTAGATAAATTATTAAGAAATAATTACATGAAAATTTAATAAATTAAAATGAGGGTATTTTAGACTTTTTTATTTTAAGTTGCTGTTTAAAACTCAGACATGGATTATTTAGAGGGTTCAAGATTTTAGAAGTAGCTACAGGGTACTACATTATTATGAAAAACAAGAAGTAAAAAGTCCGTTTGATTACAAGAAGTAACAAGACGATAGTGGGCGGAAGATGAGTCAGATGACCGTGAGATTTTGGTGTCGTTTCGTTGGATCGCTCATTACATGATGGATGAAGCGGTAAAGAGAATGTTGTTAGTAGTATATATTGGGTGAAGGGATTTAGGCCCTATGCAAATTCGGGTCGATCTTGTTGGACAGGGAATAAGTCTATTTTTCTCGGTTATTTTTCTTTTTGCTTTTGGTTGAATTGTATCGTTCAGGCCTTATATATTTGGGGAAAATTTTAGGTTTGGTTGTCACATCAGATATACAGACCCACATTTGAAAGTATTAAACGTAGTCTAATAATAAAACAAATTACAGATTCCACCAGAAAACTGCGAGACAAATTTATTAAGCCTAATTAATCCGTCATTAGCAAATGTTTATTGTATCACCATATTATCAAATCATGGCGCAATTAAGCTTAAAAGATTCGTCTCGTAATTTACACGCAAGGTGTGTAATTAGTTTTTTTCCTATATTTAAGACTTCATGCATATATCAAATATTTGATGTGATATCGTGAAAATTTTTATTTTGGGAGCTAAACAGGGCCTCAATCATAAGAAAGCAGCCCCAACTTTTGGATTCACCTTTGATATAAGGAAGCTCAACCGAACGGTTTAGCTTAAAAAAATCACACTAACTTCAACTCCAACTCCAACCAAATTTCAAAAGTAAGGGATGTTTAGATCTTACCCAAAATTTTACGCCATGTCACATCGAACATCAAACATCTGCATGAAGTATTAAATATAGGCTAAAAAATAACTAATTGTACATATTACGACTAATTTGCGAGATGAATCTTTTAGGCCTAATTACTTCATGATTTGACAATATGGTGTTATAGTAAACATTTGCTAATGATGGATTAATTAGGCTTAAAAATTTGTCTCGCGATTTATTAATGGATTATGTAATTAATTTTTTTATTAGTACCCGAACCTCTCATACAATACCCTATATAATACCATATGTCCTATATAATACCATATGTGACACGTCAAATTTTTACACCGCTGGATTTGACACCCCCAATTCTACACATGAACCAAAATTACCCACGAATGCCATCCAAGTCCAACTACTCCTCTATGTCAGCCCGTACCGCTTCCCCGCCACCCGTCGCCCCTGTCTCGCGCGGCGCAGCTGCGAAGAGGAGAGAGGAGCGCGCGGTTTTGGCGGAAAAAACGAAGCATCGGCGACGACGGCGAGCAGGTTCCTTTTCCCCTCCTTTCTCTTCTCCCCTCCTCTCGTCTCTTCCCTCTCCTCTCCATATGTTGAGTTGTTGACCTCCGGCGGCCCTTGTTGCAGATCAGGGCGGCTGCGATTCGCGGCGGCGGAGGCGCAAGGAAGCCACTCCCCATCCCCCAGCCCCACACGGTATCCCCTCCTCAAACCCTAGAAATCCCTCCAAATATTTCCATCAGATGTGCATGGTTTTTGTGGGATGGGTTTTTTTTTTGGGGGGGTTGATGATTGCTTGGTATTTGCTCAATCTTGTGTCACATAGGAGTTGTAGACTCTGATCTATTGGGTACATTACATTGTATCACAGCAGGTGTTCTCTTCACTATTTCTCTTGCAGCGTGAGAGGATAATGTATATAGGTGGATTAGGTTGTATGCTTGATTTATCTCTCTTGATGACAATGCTACCGGTTATTATTTCTAAACATTTTTATCATTACCTACATGTCATGCAGCAGCAGGTGGCAGCGTCCCGTCTTCCACTTCTTCTTCATTCATCTCCTGTGAATGTGAATGTGATCCTGTCCTGCTGCTTCTTCCATTTCCAGTTCCACCCCTTCTCTCTTGTGCATGCTTTTGTTCGTGCAACACCCAACACCCAACAGGTGGTGGTGGAATCAATCAAACCAATCAATCGTGCAAGAAAAGGGAAGAAGGGAATCAAAATCGATTCTTTTTTTTTTTTTTTGCTTTTTGAAGGGAGGGGAGGGGGGCGATCGACATGGTGCGAGCACCGGCAGGGGCAGATCCACCACCATTCCTCCAAACACGCATGGACATGGCCGCCTCCTCCTCCTCCTCTTCCCTCTCTCAATCTCACTCTCAGTCTCAGGTTCTTCTTGATTCTATCTACTCTTTGTTTCTTAGTAATTTCCTTGTTGATAATAAGAGTAATTCATTCCTCACTCTCCCAATCCGATTCGCATGCAGACGCAGGCGCACAAGGTGGAGGAGGAGGAGCACGCCGCCGACCCACCCTCCCCATCCCGTAACGCCTCCTCCAAGTACGACTTCGTCAAGGTCAAGGTGTGGCTTGGCGAGAATGCCGATCACTACTACGTCCTCTCCAGGTTCCTCCTCTGCAGGATGCTCACCGTCACCAAGGTCACCCACTTCCCCTCCCTCCCCCTCTTTTATGGCTGGCTGGGATCTTCTCATCCCCCATGACGGATTCCTCTTCTTCTTTTTTTTTTCAGATTCCTAATCATGTTGCCATTAAGATTGCCCTCGAACTCAAGAAATTGCTTGTCGACAACAGCCTGCTTGATGTGTATGCTCATCTCCACCCATCCTTCTCCTCCCCTTTCTCACTATCTTTTCTTTCTCTTCTTTTTTTTATCATACATACATTGCACTCACTGCTTTCAAGTTGCGCTTTCAGCTGTTACCCACATGTATGATATGTATTCATCAATAAAAAAAACACCATCTTTTTATTAGTTTTAGTTTTCCTTTGTCTATCATTTTGACACACCATTGTTGTTGTTTTTGTTTTTGTTTTTGTTTTGGGACACTCCACTCATTCCCCTTGCCATCTGTATAATATACTATGCTCTACCTCCTGTTTTTAACACTAATGTGTATGGATTGCCTCTTGGGTTTACACTAATGTAGCTTGGAATCTTGCAGTTCTCAGAGTGACTTAGAAGCTAACCTATTCAAGGTGATTTCTCTTTTACTTTCTTGTTATTATCTCTTCCTGTTCTGTGCATATCTTTTTCTTTTCCTGCGGGCTTGAGTGCGCGTGTGTGTTTTGGGTGTTAAAAGATGCTCGTCAATTTCAAACTCAAAAGGCACTACTTTTGCAGCTGATGGAGAAGCGGGGATACGGCGAGGATTATATTAATCGGTATAAAATGATGACCAGGTATTTGCAACATGATGTTTGTAACATCACTATGATAGTCCTGAACTAATGAAAAAGATGCATATAATTTGGTTTATCCGTAATCCATACTCTTATCTGTGTAACTGCTCCATTTTGCACCATTATGACATTCATGTTATGTTTACTCTCGCAAACTTCTACTTCAATTGCATTTGGACAGTATGTTTATGCTCTATTTGTCTTGCAGATTCCATCATCAAAGAGTACCACTAGTAGTTTTAGTGTGTGGAACTGCTTGTACGGGAAAATCAACAATTGCTACGCAACTAGCTGGAAGGTTGAATCTACCAAATGTTTTGCAGGTTTATTTTCCTTTTCTGTTGCATTTATGATATTTTGTGTTCCAATATTGTTATCGTTTCTACCTTGACCACCTCATTTCCTGATTGTAACATGTAGACAGACATGGTGTATGAGTTGCTACGGACATCAACAGAGTAAGTTGTTTCATTTCTTTTGTCTCCATTATCCGTTGCTATATGATATCTTTGTTTCACTCTTGGCCCCCACCTCTCTTTGCAGTGCCCCTCTTACTTCGGTGCCCGTGTGGGCTCGGGATTTTGATTCTCCTGAAGAGCTTATCACAGAGTTCTGCAGAGAATGCAGAGTTGTTCGCAAAGGTATGTGATATCTTGTGGGGATTTTTTTTTTGTTCACAATAAATTGTTCTCTGCATCAAATATGATTGGATACTGGTTGTTCACTGAGTTGTTTTCTGGTTGTCTAAATATTGACTAGGTTTGGCTGGTGATTTGAAGAAGGCCATGAAAGATGGGAAGCCAATTATCATCGAGGTATGATGTCTTGCCTCTTGATTACTCGGTCAACCATGGTCCACGCGTCATATACGCATGACTGACAAATCCCCCAATAACCCCATCAGACCACACTACCTCCTGTACATGTCATTGTGTGACATGGCTACGAAGGTCAGGAGGGGTGTCGGTGCTGCATAGATCCACTGGTAGTACTTATCTGCATTTTGATAGTGCTGCCTCACAAGTAAGCACAGGACATGTAACCATCAATTTCTTTTAACAGCATGAGCCCTGTGCCATATTTGTATATAGATTTTACCTAATATTAACAAATATTTTCATTGCAGGGAATTCATTTGGATCCAAGCATTTATTTTATGGACGAGGAAAAGAGAGATGATAATTCAAAAATGGAGAAAAAGGTAGCTGAATGTGAACAGTCACCAGCATCTGTAGAGAGCAAGACAGAAAGGCAACAAGAAAACGAACTACATGAGAAGAGAATGGATGACAGTCAGGAGTGCATGTCTGAGGAGGGAGGAATAAGTGAAGGGCTATCTTGTGCTAAAAGCCACGTAATTAGCTCTTCTGATTCTGCATATTCTAAAGAGAAAAATCCCAGAGCTGAAGGTAAGCCAAATGGAAGTAAATTTTATTTCTATTACTAGGGGAAAGGTCAGTAAAAACACCACTAGGTTCATGCAGATTCAAGCAATTTTAATTGTATTACTATGTAGTATGCACTAGTTGGACAATATAATCTTGGTGCAAGTAGGGAGAGCGCCCAATATAAGAAAACAAATGTGCAAAAGACCCAATCCTACACTATTCGAGTATTCCAAGATACCTGACACTAACCAGGCCAGTTTGTTAGTTCCAGTCTCACTGCTGAGGGGAGATCACCGTTTGTGATGTTTTGTAGACGAAGGACATAAGGATTTGGACCTACAGAAAAACAACACCACCAAGAAGGACAAACCTGCTGCTGAACCAATAGTAGTCCCAATTGTGTTGAGGATGTCTGATTTTGATCACAAGGTCTGTTTTCTCTCTGTCACAAATTTAGATACTTTTATGCTCTTTGTTTTTATTAAATTAAACCTAGTTCCATATTGGGAAAGAGGAGTTTGCATAAGATGCGACAATGATAGGCTCAAGGCAAGTGATTGTCCTGCTTACTGTGGTAGGGTTCATTCCCAGCCAGCCAGCCAACCGTGACAGGAGGCTCCGATCCCCCAACTTTGGATTTAATTTGGTCTTTGATGATCCACCAAGAGACATATGCCAGCCTTATAGTTTATCTGCCAACTAATAAACCAGCTAACTGGAGAATCCTATTTCTAACCAAGCAATAACCTAGTAGAAACTTGACTAACAGCTAAATCATTCCTTGGCATCAATGATGCTGGATGCTATCTGTTCTGGTTTGTCCTCCCATTCTCCCAATGAATTCGTCCACTAGTATTGAGTTTTAAACCCATCTATTTTTATTTCACATTAGTGCCACCTCTGAAAACTATTGAGTAGAATAAGGGAATGGATGCACGCTCCCAATAATCAATACTGATGTCATGGATGCTTGTTTTTTTATATATTCCACACTTGTCATTTGTTTCATTTGTTTATATTCACTATTCTCATTCAGATTGGTTTTGTTGTTTTGTTCAGGCATTGCTAGAGGAATGGACAGCCACCAGGGCTTCCAGGGATAATTGTCTTCCTCAGGTACTCATATAAGTTAGTGCACAAATGGTATCTTGTTTCACACCAGGAAAAATGCCATGTAATCCGAATGCTTATGATCTGCACCTGTCATTGAATGATTATTGACATCTTGCTCTATGTTAGACAACTTATAAAAATAGGACCTAACAGTGAAATGCCACATGTGGTGCTGCACATTGTGCGACTTTTAGTAGTATTGCTGCCAGTAAGAATTGATTCATTATAAAATTGTTGAAATTTTTGTCTGATATTGTGGCTATTGACTAATATGTGTACTCTTAATGTTCTCGGCTTTGTGAGCTCATTTGAGTAATATCTGACTTTGTGTAATGTTAACTTCCCATTATTCAGGATCATCGAAAGCTTATAAACAACCTTAAGCTTATTCAGGACTATCTTTGTTCTTTTGAGTCGCAGGTAACTTTTCCTTCATTACTGAAAATCATGAATTCCGTTCCTCCAAAAAAATCTACCTACTACTGCATGCAGTTGCCTACCCTTGTACTGGTGCAATCATTTTAATGGAGTAAATATGTTCTAGTTCAAAAAATGGTTTGATGTATATTTTTTCATATACCCCTCATGTGCTACTGTTTTTTCCCAGTAAGATGCTGCATTCATTTATCTCACATTGGATTATCATTTGGTTTCAGTATTTTCTTACCTTTTGTAAAATGTTATTCAGGGGTTGACCGTTGTTGACATTTCAGCGAACTCATTCCCTCAGACACTAGATTGGCTTCACAGCTATCTTCTTCAGGTACCTGAGAAAAGGGCATATCCTAATGTGCTTTCCTTATAGCGATTGAATCATCGCGAGCTATTTCCATTAAACTATGCATTGCCAATCTATATAACTTTTTTTTTACGAATTATTCAGTTGACATGCACCACAATATACCAAAACATTAACCAAATGATAAGTTCTAAACCATTATTTATCTGTAACAGGTCTTTTCTCAAACTGTCATATATGAGTATATGATCTGATCAAATTTACTTGATGAAGCTTCATGTTTTTTTAAAGAAAAATCTTATAATCTTGATTTGACAATATACTATCTAGTGGTGAGTTGGTCCTTGATTTTGTTATTATTTACTTGACAGTGCATCGAACGTGGCCTTTTGGCTGCATGTTCAGAAAGTCCCAAGCAAGGTGGGAGCTAACGGATACAGATGAGCGAGAGGGAAGCCCGCATTAGTCTTGCTTAACATATACTCACTCTGTTCCAAAATAAACCAACATTGTACGGATGTGCCACATCCTAATACATCTTGGACACAAGTACTAGTATGTGTCACATCGGGTTTATTTTGGGACAGAGGGAGTATGTCACATATATGATGCTTGTAAAATTGTGCTTTTAGTGGGTTGATAATCAGGAACTTGTGCGTTGCCGCCATCCATAAACGTTGGCAGTGGAAATGTAACCGAGTAGAGAACTCCATAGTTCGATAAAAACCTTTTAGAGCTGGAATAGGAAAAGGAAAATTAAAAAAAAAAGCTCAAAAAAGGTTGACAACCAAAGTTCAGAGCGATGTGCATGCGCTAAGGCCCAAACGAAAAATGCAAATATAGGAGGTGTTTAGATATAGGGGTGTGAAGTTTTGGCGTGTTACATCAGATTTATATAGGGTGTAGCATGGGTATTCGGACACTAAAAAAAATAATTACAGAATCAGTTAGTAAACTGTGAGAAGAATTTATTAAGCTTAATTAATTCGTCATTAGTAAATGTTTATTGTAGTATCATATTGTGTCAAATCATGGAGTAATTAGGCTTAAAAGATTCGTTTCGCAAATTAGTCGTAATATGTGCAATTAGTTACTCTCTTCATTCCAAATTGATCACTATAGTTTTTTTTGAGGTTATTTCTAAATAATCTATATATTTCTGTTCCTTCTATGCACACAAGTATTTATAACCTACATGCAATATTTTAATTTACTATTGGTTAGGAAATAGTGGGGATGGTGCATGCTACTATTGGCTAGGAAATAGTGGGGATGGTGCATGTATCGAGTTTGTTGCTAGAGTAAATATAGCATTAGAGTTATTAGATTTTCTTGGTTTTGGTGTATCTATAAAATATGTAGATCAATTTGGAATAGAGGGAGTATTTTTTAAGCCTATATTTAATATTTTATGTATGTGTTCAAACGTTTAATGTAGGGTGAAAAATTTTAAGGTGGGATCATTCACAGATGATGCTAACGATCCATCCACAAAAGTTCTGTTTCTCCCAGAGCTAGTACATCTCGCAGAATTGAGACGAGTATGCTTAATTAATTGAGAGAAAAGACGAGTATAAAGAGGTCAATCTCGGGTCATCCAACATAGAAGTATCAACAAACTCGATCAGCACATCAAGGTCGTCCAAAGTAAAAAAAAAAAAAAAAAAAAAAGAATCAGGTAGTCGAAAGCCAAACTTGCGCAAAAATAAATGTGGCGCAAAGTGGCCCCGATGAAAGCGGAGACGTTAAAGCCGACGAAATGGCCGGCACTCCTGCGGCGTCGGCTTCGCTAGCTAGCCGTTCCCCCATGTCGCTCTCCGCGACATCCGGAGCTTAGACTTGCGGCAATGGCGGCGGCCACGCATGTCGCTGCCCTGCTTTGCGTTGCCTCGATCGCTGCCTTCCCTTCTCCGCCCCGCAGGTAACTGACCAAAGAAGTGTGCAGATCTGGTATATGTGCTACAGTGTTAATTTGGGATTGACCTGTGGCATCGGCTGGTAAACACAATATCATTTCCCTACCTTGATTTGGTGAGTCTGTCTACTCCTGATTAGATCTTATCACTGTGCTTCCTGTTATTTGGGGTATGAATATGATTAGGCCTTGATTTGACAGCGACAGATACACAAGTTGCCGCCCAAATCATCAATGCAATGTAGTGTGCTTCACTTGGAAAAGCTTCCATTGTACCATATGCTGTGTGTTCTTCTACGACAAATCAGAGGAGCTATAGAGCAAATAATCCTTCTGACCATCTCAAACACAGGGGTCAATCAATCATCTAATTAGGCCTCTTTGTTGCAGGGGATACCCAATTATTGGTTCCTCTGAAAATGTCCACAGGGTAACAGAACTTAAGCTTTAAGACCGTCGCGAGCACTTGGTTAATGTTCCAGTGTTAGTTCCAACCTGAAAAGGTATGGTTGTGTGCTTCTATACTTTCACTGCTAGTGTTAAAAATTACATTGGAATTCTGTGAGGGGGTGTATGTGGTACATCGCCAAACTTTGTCACACTTAAGTTAGGCAAATTTTGCCTTTTATGGCAGTTGTTTGATTCCATGCTACCGTTGTGTCATGCCAAACTTTGCTACATCTATGCCCCAACATATCATAGGCTCATCAACTAGCCAAAATGTGCCACAACAGCCAACTATTTTGGCACCACAAAAACTACGGCATTGCTACATTTTTGGCACAAAAGATTGGTGAAGCGAGGGAACCATCCAAACAGGTACGACACACTATGGCCAATCAGACTAGTCATCTCAAACATTCGAGTGTTTAGTTGCTTTGTCTAACAAACTTTTATTTCATTCTTGTCCTGTACCTTTTTGTGAACCTGTAGTTTAAACATGGTTCTGATCATTGTGCATCCACTCTTTGAATTTTACAGCCTGATATTTTCTTTTCTTCACTTCGATCGCTCATTTTGTTATCTTTATTTAGCAGTTGCAATTCTATTAACCAAAAGCATGTTACTGTTATGGATTCCTAATGGGACTTGCATAGTTTCGTAATTTCATTTGGGGCAATGATGATGGATGCATGGATTGGTTGTAAAGTACAACCAACCAATTACTGATTGAAGTATTTTCCACCAAGATCCCTGTATTTATACAGGTTGTCATGGCAGGCATCCATTCCTTCCTTTCTTCCTTCCTTCCTTCCTGCCTTGCCTGCCTATATGTCTGTCTGTCTGTCTATCGATCATCTGTTATGCGGTTTAAGATGAGAATGGTCATTGAATGACTAAAACACCATCTGAGCCCTAATTTTATATTTCAAATGTTGAGAATTATTGACAAATGGATCTTTTCTCCATGTACAATCCCTTTCTTTAAACCATAATTCATTTCTTTTCTTAAACAACAGAGCATATGGCTATACTCCACGACATTCTTGATTTGGCACTTCCAATCTTTTTTTTTCCTTTTGACCAAACACTTCCAATCTTTTCAGGTTCTGATCTGTATTTCAAATTGATCTTTATTTTATTAATGTGGCAGCATCATCAGAAGTAATTCTCAGACAGTTTTATAACCTTGCTGATTATTAGTATCGGACAACACTCCAAGCATGAAGCGAATGGTGCTACTTTGTTCAGTTAGCACAAATGATTGATTTATTGAGCTGGAGTATGTTTTGTTATTATAGCAATGCTTTTTAAAGAACATCGCTAGTTTCTTATTAGTACCAAGGATTGTTTTACTCATGCAACTCAATATGACAGTATTCTCATTTATATGTTTTTTGTCATCCAATAATTTCTGTGTCACATACTGATGGTGAGTAGCAATCATACTGATGCACACTGCTATTGGACAATGTACTGATATCATGGTTTTGTTTCAAGTGATATCATGGTATTAGCTCCACTGCGAACCTTCATGTGATCGTCTACTCTCTCATGTTTCAACTAATTCTCTATATCTGCATTTTTCTTTGGGCATATTTTATGTATGGCAAATTTCTGTTTCCAATAAATGTGATATACCATCAATTCTATGCAGATGGGAAACTGTCAGCAGAAAGAAGAATTGGGCAAAGAGGTTCTCTACATGATAGCGTTTGAGATTAAAATAAAAAGGAAAAATTGTATATAGTTTAGTCCACGCAAAAAGATGTGAAAATGATCTGAATGATAGTCAACAAAACTTAAGCTACTTATCATATTGCCGAATCGACAAGGCCTTGAATGAACTCATGTTTTGCTCACTCAGTGATACTGTTGTAATGACTGATGAACAGAGTTCACAAAATTTGCTCAGTAATTTTTCAAGCTTGTAACCATGGTACTGGCTGGCTTTAGTAGGTAGTATTACTGATAGTCTGATACTAATGTACCTCGATCACACGATGAGCCCATTCAGATTTGCCATTTTTGAACCATTACCATTTTTTGAAAAAAAAAATTGACAAACACGTGAATGCATTTAGTTTGTTACCAAACATTGGTAATACCTAAAACATTTTGGCAACAGCACACTTAATCTATTCTAACAAAGTTTTGGTATTGCCAAATTTTGAAAAGGATCATTGTGGCAGCAATAGCCACGCTTACGATTGTTTTCATTTTTCACCCATGCTTTCCATGCTATATATGTGCACTAAGTAGATTAAGATTTGATGGCAACACCATGTATGAGGTTTTATTAATTGATCCACAGAGCAGGGTAAAAGCAAAGTCGTGGATGCTTGGCCTAAAAATATCTAGTCATCGACATTTCAGACTTCAGATAACGCCTACGATAGTGATGGATGCAGAAAAGCACAGCAGCATTGGAAAATACAGGATCAGTATACTGCAAATCTGTGATATTGAATATTCATAACTGACAACTGCCTTTTCATTACAGAAATTGACCATATCAACTTCAGCAGATTCCTCTCCACAATCCATTCTCTCCAGAAATTTATGGCACACAACCTCTGTTTCTGATGGTACAAGATGCATTTAGCAACATGATATCAGTGGTGATTTCGGTAGTCCTAATAGTTGTACTAACCACCGTGTAATGTGGAGATAAAAACAACAACATCCTTCTCCTCCAACTCCGCGTCAAGGCCACCGCATAGCTCCCAGTCACAATCATTTATAAGTACGAGAACACCAGGCCTTCTGCAAGCACGAAAAGAAGCACCTCATCAAGACTAATGGACTTAACTTTGTCCACAAATTAAAGAAAGAGAATTTCTAAATTTCCTTCAAGTTTGACATTGCAAAAGTTTAATGATATCCCCCAGCTTATTGCGCTAACAAAGCATCCACTTCTCTGCAAAGAAAACAGCAAATAACCTGTATACCACCCAAAGCATTCATAAGCACATACTAAACTGTCATTAGAAGGTTTCCTTATTCAAGTAAAATCACCGGATCAATAACCCTAGTTCATTATGCATATTTCTAATGAAATCAACTAAACTGTCATTAGAAGGTTGCATATTTAACATTTACTCCATCCGTTTCACAACGTAAGTCATTCTAGCATTTCCCACATTTATGAATTACGTTGTGAAACGGAGGAAGTAGCTCCAGAAACAATGACAAACATTTTTAACGAAATAACAGAAATAAAATATTTGAGCATTTCTCCTATAACTTAAGTTTGCATGGTTAAGTTGAAATTCAGCAGAAATAACAGCCAGCATCACCAAAGAAGCGACACCACTCATCACCTAGCAATATCCATACCGAAGTGGACCGAAAACAAATAAAATGCTTTGGACACACCATTGATCATTGAAGCGGATCAAATCATATCATGCACATAAACCATGAGACGGAAAGGGAAAATCATACACTGAATCACCCTTGAGGAACATCTCCGGCCTCTCCTTGATCAGATTGGACTTCACCCAAGCGAGCAACCCTTTCATCACGACCTGCAAAACGAAACAAACAACAAAGAAAATGTTCACACACAAACAGCTCAGAATTCTAAGTCCGTGATTAGCTAAGCAGTAGCTGCACGCGGCGCGGCTCCGTCGAGGCGGGCGGGCGTCACCTTCCCATCGCCGTCGTTGGGCTGGAGGTCCACCTTGTGCACCTTGGTGGACTTCTCCAGGAGCAGCTCCAGCCCTCCCCTGCAACCACCACCACCATCAATCAACCCACACAGCTCATCAGCAACCACAAAATACACAGCAGCAACACAACGATGGAAGGCATCGAGAGAGAGAGAGTGAATCACCCACCCGAATTCGAGGGTTAGATGCATGGCGGAGAGGATTGGGAGGAGGCGAAGCGCGAACAGCGATCGAGCGTCGACGCGGCGAGGGTGCGAGCGGCCGAGGAGGGGGGAGTCGCGGGCGGCGGCGAGAGCGAGTAGACGGCGGCGGCGGCGGTGGGGAATAATTGGCTCAGCTCGCGGCGGAGAAGAGACGAGAGCGATGGGCTGTGGCCTCTCCTGGGTTTCTGGCTGTCCAGAGGAATAAGTTCACTTTAGGTCCTTCAAGTTGTCGTTGAGTATGCAATTCGTCCCTAAACCGAAATACCAGAATAGCAGGTCCCCCGCTTCACAAAACTGGATCACCCGAGGTTCTAGGCAGTATTATCTTCGGTTTTAAGACAATCTAAGTCAGCGTGGGACTCACATAGTGCCCCCACATGTTAATGACACTTATCTCTCTTCACCTATCTCTCTCTATCCCTCCCCTCTATTCCCATCTCACCAGGGCGGCGGACGGTGAGGAGCAGCAGCCGACGGCGGCCTGTGAGGAGGACGATGCTGGCAACAGCAGGCGGCAACAACTGCACACTAGAGCTCGAGCTCAGTATTCCCAGTAGAGTAGCCAAGCTAGCTTATTTCTACTGCACAAGCAAGTGAAATCCTACCATGATCACAGCCTACTCCTCCATGACCTCATCCTCTTCCGCCTCTGAACCCTAGTGTTGGGATACGCGTAGGCTACGATAGCATAAATCAAAATTTTCTATCGCGTAAACCAGGACCATGCAAGTATTAGATCATAGATCGTTACCACTCGGCGCGCTGCGCAGCAGAAGAAGACGCTGAGAAGTCGAAGCAACTCTCGCGAAGTAGCGCGCGTCGATGTAGAGGAAGTAGTCGATCGCACCGGCTCGACCTTCTCCTCCTCATGCGTTCTCCTCGCTGTACTCACACGCCGATCAGCACCGCAAACCAGCGGCGCCTCTACCGGTATCCATACGTACAGGGACGGAACACCACGCGCAGATGTGCTAGCACCCGCGCGCGGCTAGGGTTTTGCTCGGGAGGGAAGTGACGACTAAGGTTTCTCACGTGATGCAATGCCTCCGCCGGTCACACCCCTCATGAATATATAGGATCCATCACTCGGACCTCCAAGGCCCATAGGACTCCTATTCGGATCCCTATCCGAATTAAACTCATATTGGATCTCTATCCAATCCCCTTATTCCGGCCCATTAAGCGTGCGACCCTGTAGGTTCATATATACTCGGCTGTAACCCGAAAACTCCTTTTCGGTCCACGCGTCAACATCGGCCCCTAGCAGAACGTATTGACCCACCGGGCATACATAAAGATCATATCGGCTGAACCTCTAGTGTATACTTGTATGAACCCCTTTGCCTTACGATATCGATTAAGTTCAAGGCTAGATATATGCCATCCTCTAATAGCTCAATCATTCACTTGAACCTGTTGATAGATTATATAACTTGTGATTGACTCCTCAATCACCTTTGGTATGGCCATGCACTTCCATAATCTACAACATCGAGAGGCCCAGAGATATCTCTCCATAGGAGGGGCAAATCCCATCTTGATTATTCATATTCCACCACATGTTTTATATCATACCCGAAAACTACTTTTATAACTACCCAATTACGGAGTAGCGTTTAGCAGTCCCTAAGTAAGCTACTACACATGTTGGGAACCATGATAATATCAGGTCTAAGGATTCAACACCAACACTAAATGAGATCACTGATGACACAACACATATGACTCTTGCAGTGTCTCATGTTGGGTCTATCCAACAACTTATTCACTAACATGTGTCCACATTATTAATTTGGTATCTCTATACCATGATCCATGAGACATGATCATCAATTAATACATGTGCTGATCATCTAAACATATTTGTTCCACATATGATATTTGATCAGGGATCCTTTAGAAATAGCAAAAAACAACATAAAGAGTATCATGAAAGAATCACATATTCATTAACCAATAAGGAGTTATATATTTCAAGGAACAATGTCAGACAAATATGTAAACATAGTATTTGCCTCTAGGGCATATCACTAACACCTAGATCCCCTCACCTACTGTGTAGAGAGTTGGCTTGCCCCGGCATCGGAACCACCCCCACCCATGGCAAACGTGCGCAGCACGCCAGCACCTCCGCCGCCACAACAGCACCGCGCTCGCCTGTGGCTAGTGCTGCTCCTTCACTGCCACCCACAGGGCCCCGAGCACCATCGCGCACTCTCCGTCGTGTCAGGAGGAGGGGAAGTCAAAGGCAGCACGCGCAATAAGCTCCCGCTCAAGTTGCCCTCGTTGCCATCCTTCCAAAGCTCCCCGTCATTCTTTGTCGGCTGTGTGTCCCCTACAAACCTAGACAACTCGTCCGTGGTGGCGGTTGGAGCGAATTTGGAGGAGGATGTGCCACTGAGACCGTTGGTGCCATTCGTGGCAGTGCGTAAAGAACGGGAAGAAGAGGGGAGAGGGCTGGATCTGTAGCTGTGCCTCTAGGGGAGGGATGGGAGGAGCGTGGCGATGGAGCTGCCATGGCACCGTCGGGGGCCACTGTTGGCAGCGGGACCAAGAGGATTGAGGTGGAGAACATGGAGGTGTTCAAGGAGACCGTGGAGCTCATGTGATTTTGTAGCAACTAGCTAAAGGCCATTTTATTGCAATGGATATTATAGAAATAAAAGCAAAAGTAAAAATTATAAGTTAATAGTACAATTAGTTGATTAGGCATATAATAACATATCAAAAGTAAAAGCATTCACGTGTGAGGACCATATGGCTCCATATGTTAGCTTGTGATGTTGGAGATGGACTCGGACACCACCACTAGCATCATTTTAAATTATAGTTTAGATTGTTACTTGTGTTACATGTCGGACTGCAATATATTACGAAATCATAGCTTAATTAAAAATAAGAAAACTACTTAGACTTAGAGACTTAGAGTGACAGTCTAAATACTTATGTAACATATTGCTAAACCTTGTTGAGAATTGGCATAACTTTTTGTTATGACCATCTGTCTGTAAGTTATATGTAGTCCTTATCTGTCTCAAACCAGAAAACTGAAACTTCGACATCAAAGACCGATCCTTTGCTGACTGAATTTTGCTCATCTAACCACTGATGACTGACATTGAGCCACAACGGAAGATAACATCAAAGTGTAACTAGTTGTAAATCAGTCGTCCGATCACTTTTTGTCACCACCAAAACCATGGAAGCTAATCCGGTGGGAATAAAGCCAGCAAGAACACTGCACCAATAGAAGACTTTCAATTTGATCACTACTGGTGAAACGATCTTTGAAGGGTCGAGCGATTTCCACAATAGTCTCGGTTCTAATAAGAACCGGGACTAAAAACAATCTTTAGTTCCGGTTAAAAAAAATTGATCTACCAACCGGGACTAAAGGTCCCGGTTCATCCCCTGTCAGAAGCCTGCGAGGGGGCCGAGGATCTTTAGTCCCGGTTGATACTACCAACCGGGACTAAAGATTACCACTTTAGTCCCGGATGGTACTATCAACCGGGAGTAAATATTTATCTCCCATCTCTGATCGGTTAAGTCCTAGATAAGATCAGATAAGTCCCCTCGATCTCTCCTCCCCTCAGATCCGATCTCATCCTCTTCCCCTCCCCTCTTGTCCTCACCTTCTCCCCTCCCTCCTCCTCCTCCTCCACTCCCCCTCCTCCCTCTGCGCGGGTGAGCGGCTGGCCAGGTGCGGGCGAGCGGCGAGCGGCGGTGGGGGCCGGTGGTGGCGGGCACGGCGGGGGCCGGCGGCGGCGGCGGGCGCGGGCAGGCGGCCTGCGGCGGCGGCGGGCGCCTAGCGGGGCTGCGCACTCAGGCGGCAGCCGGAGTCCTCCATTTTCTTGCCTACAGCCGGAGTCCTCCCGTTTTCTTTTTTTTTTGTGATTTGTGATTCACTGGATGTATAATTTCTAGAATTTGTGATTCATTGCATAGATCTGTGATGTGTTTTATTTTATGTGTAATTTATTTAAGGATTTGTGATGTATTTAAGGATTTGTGATGTGAATGATTTGGGATGTTACTTGATTTGGGGATATGCATCTCACCTGATTTGTGATGTGAATGATTTGTGATGTATCCAGATCTCTGTGTGAGGATCTCACTTACAAGACCAGGCTGACCAATGACGAGACAACTCAAAAGCCATGGTCCATGGAGGAGCAAGTGTGGTCGGAGTCGGAGAGGAAACCTTGGTCATCAACCCTGTTGCCGCCTTACTTGCACACGCGTGAGGTGGCGCACTTGGGCCACGACGAGACATGGTTGTTGTGAAGCCCACCAATCCCGGTATTCACAACAATCATCCGCGAAAATCAAACATACTATAATATTTTCTTAATAATAAAATAGTAAGGATGCCCCTACAATAAATATATATAGTTATAATTATAGTGTGATTACAGTAAAATTATACATTAACTATATTATAACTTTTATATTACTTACATGTAAGTATTGAAAACATACGTCACTTCCATATAACTTGTACAAGTTCTATAAAAGTTTCAATACAGTTACAATGTAATACCGCTACAACTATACTATAGTTATAATGTAATTACATAGCACTATCTTATAGTTACATTTGTAAGTTTCCAACCTTGCAACAGTTTTTAAGCAATTCCCATCTTTATTCATATTCATGTATTGTACATAGAGTTGTGGACTGTAGAATCAATTGTATACATCCATCCAAATATAATAATAGGCTAATAGCACAAGAGCAACAGTGGCTAGTACAGAGTAGAGCTAAAATGCGTGTGCACTGTGGTACATGAACAATAAAGAAAGTACTAGCTCATCTAATCTCAGTTTCTACCAGATTGTTTTGTGAAGGAAGCCCGAATCCGGTCGTACAAGCGGTCAGAAACCAAGAAACAAATGATTCTCCATCTCTGCATGAACAAGAAGGTGCATAAGACAACCCAGAGACCAACTACCCATCCTATGCCCATGCCAAGGTACAGGAAAACCCCATCGCTCAAACTTTTGTCTTCATCAACGGCGTCTGGCAGTAATTTCGACGATTCCGAACAATTCCTTGAGAGTGGTGGGCCACAAAGTCCCGGATTGCCGATATATATAGATGCCTGATCATCAAGTGTTCGTAGCTGATTACCATAAGGTATTTGTCCTGACAAATTGTTATAGGACAAATTCAAGTGGCTCAGTGACGCAGGGGCTGATAAACTTGTAGGAATTTGGCCAAAAAGTTCATTGTGTGACAGGTCCAAAGATTCTATTGATTGTAGTGCTCCAATGTTTGTTGGTATTACCCCGCTTAGATGATTCCAAGATAGGTTCAAGTTTTTCAGTGCAGTGAGCATGCTAATATCCTCAGGAATATGGCCTGTTAAATTGTTGCAGGACAGATCAATATTTACCATATAAATGATTCCGCTTCTAAATTCAAGCTGTTGCCCTTTGGTGACAACCAACAAACTCTCATTAGTGGCACTAGTAATGTGGCTGAAGTCAGGTCCAGATTCTTCAAAATTGTATGGTCCAAGATTAGCCAACATAATTACTCTAACATTTGACGTCGAGAGTGACCATCCGTAATAGACAATATATGAAAGTGAATCATTGTCAGCAGGCCTGTGGGACATTGCCGTCAAATTCACTAGTGACCATGGTATTGCCCCTGAGAAGCTGTTATAAGCTAGGTCCAGATACTGAAGCTCCTTCATCTTGGTAAGCTGGGGAGGGATTTCACCGGTGAACATATTTGATCGTAACCGTAAAAAGTGCTAACGCTGACAACTCATCTATCCATGCTGGTAAGCTCCCAGAAAATCGATTAAATGCGAGATCAAGAAATATTAGGTTTTGGCACTTTTGGAGAAATAAAGGGAACATTCCAGAAAGATTATTGTCATTTAAGTTCAACATAATGATGTTTTGGTGAACACCTAGCAGGTCGGCCCTTGACGTGTTGCCTGCTTGTGAGATATTCAAACAATTGGGAAATGGCCCTTGTAGTAGATTTGCAGATAGGTCTACAAATTCTAGATACTTCAGTTGACAAAAAGATTGTGGAATTTTACCAGACAATGAATTTTCGAAGAGAATAAGGGACTCTAGAAATGGAGCTCCAAAATCAAGTGGTAGTGGCCCTGATAGATTATTTTTTGAGAGGTCAAGGTATGTTAAATTTTCTGGAACCTTTTGTAATTGACCTTCCAGAAGGTTGTTACTGAAATCCATTACTTCGGCTACCATTTTTTCGTTCATCATTGCTGGTAGCACTCCACTAATCTGATTTCCTGATAGAACAAAATATCTAGTGTTGGAGAATGTGGTCCAGAACCAATCAGGTATAGAATCAGCTATGCTTGTATTTGAAATATCCATCATAGTAATCGTATCTTGAGACCTTAGCCATCCTGGGAATTTAGGCCCTAGTCCACAAGATTTTAAACCGGCTATCATCAGTTTGAAAGGAGGAACCCAATTATGGTCAGCCACTATTGCTAGAGTGTTATGGGATAACCCTAGAATTTTCAAACTAGCTAGATTAGCCAAGTGGAATTGTGTAATCACGCCATGGAAGTTGTTGGAATCAAGCTCTAGACTTGTGAGGTTTGTGAGTTCTCCAATCCAAAGTGGTATATCTCCTGAGATTTTGTTATCACTGATACGAAGGTTATAAAGACTTCCCAATCGTCCCTTTTGAGCTGGCAAGCTTCCCTCTAAATTGTTCCCGTACAATTCTAGTACGTACAATCCATTATCAGGCAATTTATCTAACAATTTTTCTATGTCACCACTGATATTATTCTGTGCAAGGTACAGAAACTTCAAGTTGCTTAGTCTCTTGAATGTGGTTGGCAGCCCTGTGAGATCGTTGAAGTTAAGGCCCAAATTTACAAGGGATGTGGAATTTCCCATATACTCGGGGAGGATACCCTGAAGCCCACAACTTTCTAGATAAATTGTTTCAAGTCTAGGAAAATCCCAAAATGGCCAAAAGAGTTTTTCGACTGCAACAGGTGAGTGGAAGGGGTTACCACTTAGGTCAATTACCTCCAGAGATGTAAGGTTCATGTGTAGCGGAGGAGGGATAGCGTTGCGTAGGCCACAGTTGCGAAGGCTCAAGTGCTGTAGAGATGGAAGCATGTTGAGAGAGTGAGCCCAGTCGAATGCTGTGCTGAGGTTCACGCCGCCCAAGTAGAGATGCTGTAGGTTTGCCAAGCGTGACAACCACGCAAGATTCGTCGAGTAGAGTCCTGGACCCTTGTAGCTTGTGAGATCCAGATCGATCAACCTGGAGAGGTTGCCGAGATGAGGAGGAACCAGCCCACTGAAGTTGGCATCACCGAGGGTGAGATGCCGCATGCTCTTGAGTTCACCGAAGAGCTCCGGGATCGGCTCACCTCCGAAGTCATTGCCAGCAAGGCTCATGGACTTGAGATGCCGTAGAGCAAGCAGGGATGGGCTTATCTTACCTCCGATTCCAGCGTACTCGAGCGTAAGCGTCGCGACATGGCCGTTTCGCTTGCTGCATACGACGCCTTCCCATTCGTCGCAGCAGTTGTCGCCTTGCCAGGATGCCAGGTAGTTGCTGGGATCTTGGAGTCCTGCTTTGAGGTCAAGCAGAGCGTCCCGCTCGCGGGCGATGCAGGGATTGCTTGGTGGAAGTGCAGGTGCAGGTGCAGTTTGAGGAGGAGGGGAGGAGGAGCCTGCTTGGAGTAACAGAAGGCACCATGTTGTTGCTATGACTGGAAACACAAGATTTGGCCTGGTCATTGTGCCAGTTCCTTTTTCGGATTGTAGTTGCTCTGCTAAAATTTGGCCTTGTATTTATGGGGGAGAAAATTGGAAAAAAAAATGCATCCACCAGGTTCCCTGAGTCAGAGGGAAAAAACAGGTGCTCCATCACACCGGACATCCGGGGGAGGAAAAGCAGAGTTGAACGGCATGTCCCATGTGTGAGTACGTACCGCGCGGGGTGCATGCTATACAGTCTATTTTGACTGCTGTATTCAATGGTCTAATTTCACTGTTGTATTTATTTCAATTAAATATTTATAGAGAGATCTCATGTACTATATTCTGATGTAAAAATGTATGTGTTTTAACTATTAAAATTCTATGTTTCAAACGCGAGAAATGAATGTTTTATGTGAAATTTGACTTTATTGCATGTTAGTGTCTGGTTTTTATAAATTTTAAAGTTGATTTAGTCGTTGGGATTGGATATTTCATGCAGTGTTGCAATCAGTATTTAAATGTTGCATCTCTTTGAAGTATTTGATGGAGTGTGTTGAAACAATCAATATCTTGATAAGGATGCTAGGTCTCGATCTTTCGATACGTGAAAATATCCACTTTCCAACCCTTCCTTTCAATATTGGAGCCGATAATATGTATCTAACAACGTCGGTCTTGCATATAATAGTACATTCATTGGACAGTAAATAATGCCTTAACCTCGTGCATGAAAAATATAAATATAAGCATAACTTCTCCACAGGAGAATATCTAGTCTCTGCATCCAAGAGCCGACGACTGAGATAAAATACAACTCGTTCTTTTCCATCCAACTCCTGAATCAGGACTGAGCCGATTGACTTCTCACCGGCCGACAGATACAATCTAAAAGGTATCCCTTTCTGTGGAGGAATCAAAACAGGAGGGGAACTCAGGTATCCTTTAATATTATCCAAAGCCTTTTGCTGCTCTGCTCCCCAAGTAAACTACTGATCGGCCTTCAATCTCAACAATGGTGTAAAAGGTTCTAATTTTCTGGACAAATTAGAAATAAACCTTCGAACAAAATTAATCTTGCCGATCATCTCCTGCAATTCGGTCTTGTTTTCCGGGGGCTTAATCTTTTTGATCGCATTTATACTTCTCTGAGTTATCTCAATTCCCCTCTCATGGACAAGAAATCCCAAGAACTGGCCAGCCGATACACCAAAAGCACACTTTGTCGGATTCATCTTCAAGCCATATTTCCTGGTCCTCTCGAAAACTTTTCTTAAATCGGCTATGTGGTCTTTTATTTCCTTAGATTTAACAACCACATCATCAATATAGACCTCAACCAGCCAGCCGATTAGATCATGATAAATATAATTCATGGCCCGTTGATATGTAGCTCTAGCACTCTTCAAGCCGAAAGTCATAACAACCCATTCAAATAAGCCTATTGCACTAGGACATCTACAAGCTGTCTTATGGATATCTTCTTCAGCCATAAAAATTTGATTATACCCCGCGATTCCATCCATAAAACTCAAAATTTTGTTCCCTGACGCAGCATCAACCAGCTGATCGGCTACTGGCATTGGATATTCATCTTTCGGTGTAGCTTTATTCAGATCTCTAAAATCAATGCATACCCTCACCTTGCCGTTCTTCTTGATGACAGGAAATATGCTAGAAACCCACTCAGCATATCGGCAAGGACGAATAAAACCAGCATCATATAAACGCTTAATCTCAGCTTTGACAGGTTCAAGCATATCGGCTTTGCATCTCCTCGGAGGCTGCTGGTGCGGCCTAACCCCTAGTTTGATAGGTAGCCGATGTTCTACAATTGATCGGCTGAGTCCAGGCATCTCATAATACTCCCAAGCGAAGCAATCTCTAAACTCTTTTAAGAGCTCTATCAGCTTGGTTCTAAATTCTGGAGACAAATTCTAACTAATAAATGTCGGCCTTGGCCAATCGCCATCGGTTCCAATCCCTTCCAAGCAATAAGCTGTAAGAACCCTTCCCATCGATGACAAAAAACGTGGTAGGAATAGTCTTACTGCTGACTGTCAGCTCCACATTTAGAACACCTTTGGTTTCCGATGGATTGCCACCAAAGTCCTTGAGCACCATAATTGTCTTGAGCTCCATTTGCAATATCTCTTTTTGCCTAATTCCTCAGCCGACGGAATCGTATGACCAGCAGGGAGTTGAATTTGCTTCTCTCGGAGTAGCAGATCAAAAATCTTGTCAGCTTTAGTAATATCAAAATCATACTTCTCTTCCTTTCCAGAACTCTTTACCCATTGGCACGGTATGACCTTTTTACTCCTCACCCATTCGGCTGCAGCTATCTCAAAGTCATCCTCATCGTCATCCGACCCATACATGTAAGGACAAACATGATTAACCTTCTTAGAGCTTTTCCTAGCCTCCATAGACCTATGCTCGTGCAAGGTTACCTTTTGTATCATATGTGACAAGCTATCAAAGTCTTCAGATGAGAATTTCTCCCTAATCGGAGCAATCATACCCTGAAAGGCCAGATCGGCTAACTGAGCGTCAGTTAAACTCAAGCTGAAGCACTTGTTCCTCATCTCCCTGAATCTCTGAATATACTCGTGCACAGGTTCATCATGCCGTTGCTTAATCGCGGTCAAGTCAGATAACTTCATCTCATGAACCCCACTGTAGAAATAGCTGAGGAATTGCTTCTCCAAATCGACCCAACTATTGATCGACCCATACGGCAAAGAAGAAAACCAAGTAAAAGCCGATCCAGACAAAGATAACCAGAACAACCTAACCCTCAGAGTGTCCACAGCCGATGCTTCACCACACTGAGCTAAAAATCGGCTAATGTGCTCATAAGTTGACACACCATGTTGCCCCGAAAATTTGGAGAAGTCCGGAACTTTGAACCGATTGGGGAGAGGAACTCTCTCAAACCACTCAGGGTAAGGCTGCCGATACAAGCTTCCAGTCTCTTTTGGTTTAAGCCCGAACTGTTCCCTCATTACATCAGCAGTCACATCGGCCCACGGTCGTTGCTGAGCTGCTCCCTGTGACTGTTGTTGCATGGGCTCGAACTGACCGTACTAAGATGCAAACTGAGGTTGAGCCAGTCCCCCTGGCTGATATTGGGCTTGCGGAGAAGGAGGCTGATATTGATAATTCAAGTTGCCCCCCTAGTAATTATGAAGGTTCGGCTGAATATTACATGCCAAATGCTCGGGAACAACATGAGGCATTACTATGCCATCCGGCAGTACGTGGTGAACCAAGTGTTCTGGGACGACTTGATTTAAAAATTGTTGTACAGGCTGTCCACCAGGCGTCATTTAAAAACCCGGCCGATGCGCTCATTGAGCCTTGGTGCTGAATCGGCTGAACGATTTGCTATCTTAACAACGTTTACTGAATCGGCCGCGGAGGCTGTTGCCTTGGTGGCGTTTGCTGGACTGGTTGCACAACTTGTTGCTGGATTGGTTGTACAACCTGCTAAATCGGAAGTGTCTGTTGAACCGGCTGCTGCTGTATTGGATCAACAGCAGGTTGAGGCGGCAGAAACATGGCAGCAACTTGATCTTGCGTCGGCCGATTCACAACCTGCCCACTATGCTGTGGCTGCTCTCTCATTAACAACTGAGGGTTCACCAGCTGGCCTAGTGCCAATGCTGACGGAGCAGGTAAGGGAGTCGATGCCGGCGCCGTCGGCTGAGCTAATGGTGCGATGGGGGAAACTGCCTGAATAGATGGCTGTGCATCAGTGATCAAAGGCCGATAATTTGGAAAGACACCTCCTTGCAAATAAACTGGGCCTGCAGCCTGATGCTCAGCTATTGATCCATCGGCTATTGACTTCATCATGTTTGATAAGGTATTGACTAACACCTCAGACTGATTGATCAAAGCATGGTGCACAGCATAGTCGACCCGGTCTTGAAAATTATTGAAAAAATCTTATGCCGCATCACTATTCTGATTAAGATTTCCCCCTTGCAACCGCTGAGCACCATCACCTTGAACTCCATGCACTCCATCGCCTTGAACTCCATGGACCCCTTGAGAGTTGTCACCTTGACTTCCTAGAGAACCGTCGGTAGCACCTTTGTCACTCAGTTGAGCCGAGCCATCTAGAGCTTGTTTCACGTCTTCACCTTTGGAAGAACTGGTCCCAGGATCATCGGCAACTACCTTTACTTTATACTTCTGAACCAATGTTCCCTTGCGGGTCTGCATGAATGAGTTCAAGAACTGATCCCGGGCTTGCTGCAACATTACTTCAAAATACTTCTTCTGCTCAGGTGTGAATTTCTCTGGATCGATGGGCACGATGTTTCCTTCATTGACGTCAGTCAACCCCAACTTCTGGATCTTTTCTTTAACAGTGCTTGGGCTAGCCGAGGATGGCGACAGCGGTGGCTTCTCGGCCATGAGGAAGAATTGCTTGCTGACTTCTAATCGGTCCCACCAGGCGTGCCAAAAGCGTGTTGATAGAAAACACGAGGCCTGGGAGATCTGCTTAACTCCAGTGCAGGTCCAAAGCTCACCTTCGAATGCATGAGCGTGCCAGTTGATTTGATCCTGTAATCAACAAGAAATAGAGACAAAAAATTTCTGGTTAAATCTATAAATGAAAGCCGATCGGCTAGGTACCGATGACATATCATTTATCTTTGATCCGATGTCATATATGAATCGATCGGCGGTTATAAATAGATAGTAAGGAACTAAATCTATTCAATCGGCTGTAGATATTAATGATATATAGTTCTTATATTAATATATACTTAAATCAAGTGATTGGGATAGATCGGTCACCATGCCGAGACAGTATAAATCACTTAGATCGAAATATATATTAATAATAGGATTATATATGTTTATAGCATAGCCGATCAGATAGAGCTAGCATGTATCGGCTAATACTCCGATACTACTTTATATAAAGATATCAAAACAAATATAATATACCAAACAAAATCTTAATATACTTAAATGCAATAAGATCTTGACATAAAGGGCGGATTTAACATGTCATTGAAGCATATAGATCGAATATGGTTAAATCAGATAAGATCGGCTAAAACTCCGATACTACCCTAATCGGCAACCAGAGGACAGGCTAAAGATTGATATTCTAAGCACGACTTAATAAATCAAACTCAACTGATGCAACATTAAGTATGAAAAGAAGAACAATATCTAGATAATCAAGCCGCTGGGTGTTTCATAAAGTGGTAGATATCTTATATAATCTAGGACAACGTCGCTATTTAACCTAATCGGCCGCCTTCTATTAACAGATGTTAGCCGATTGTAGGTTAGATGACGATATTGCCAAAGATTATGTAAGATATATGATAACTTGATGAATTATATAGACAATATTAGAGTG